TTAATGCTGCTAGGATTAGATTTCAGATGGAAATGTACCGAGATTTCCCCAACGTCGGGAATCACACATTAGAAAAGCAAGCTTTCTGGTTTCAGAGCTGATGAAATGAAACTTCTTTTGATCCCAAAAAAGAAGCTAAGAAAACGAAATCAGTCATTTGCATCATAGATTTTACTTATCATATCCTTATCTGATATCACATCTTTTAGATCTCAAACTGCTTTACGTTTTATTAATGCAAGGTGGCTGTCCAGGAAGGGAAAAATAAAGAACAAGAACTTATATATATCTGAAATTAAGGTTTCTATTGCATTACAGTTTATTTAGTGGCACGCTGAGAAAACTAACTTAATCCTTTTAGATTCCTTTCTGTGGCGATCTGGCCCTTTTAATTTTTTTTTCCTGTGGCATTCGTGGACATAAAGTTTTAGATTTTTTTTTTTTCTGAGAGAGTTTGGGGAACATTATCAAATAGACTGATGGGAATAATTAAAATATTAAAAAATTACTATTATCTACATTGACAGATAATTCTATTTTAAGGAATAATAATTATTATTATAGCCGTAGTTGGGTTGCATGCAAAAACCGAAAAAGAAGAGATAATTTAAACTTGATTTGGTGTGCGTAATGACCTACGACTGGATAAAAAGATTTATTCAGACAAACACTATCTATCTATTAACTTGATTTAGAGTGTCTTATACGAAGTCTTCTCCTCGTGTAATTTACTATTCAGAAATGAATCTTATATTGATTATAGTTTGCCGTACGCAAAATTTAAACTTATCTTTTTAGATTGAGAGAAAACCTGAGACATTTAGCTCTGATTCTTTCCAGAGTAAAGGAGTTCATTAAGCTTCACATATTACAGATACTCGTTGCCACTGCATGCGAAGTTCGCAAATCACTCGCAACTTCTGCTGTGGGTTAAATCGATACGATGATATGAGTAAATTAAAAAAGTAATCGCTTTTTACTCATAATTATGATTTTGTTGCAACAGCTCTCATTTTGCAAGTTCCAGTACATACATAAAACAATACGTATACGCATACATATATTAGACACACGTGATATAACGGAAAGAAAGCATGCAAATACCGAAGTTGTAACAAGAAAAAAATTCTCACCTTAGACTGGAGCTTGGTTTTACAAAAAACCTCTATGCGTTTCGAAAGGAGGTTGGAACGGGACCATTCTTCAAGAAGCAAAAACACTATGAGTCGTAAAATGAAAATCGATGTTTATATGGCGAAATAAAATAATTACATAACTAAAAAAGCAGGAATATTTTAAAAGCCTTCATTACCTCATACTCTTGGTTCTCTTTAATCTTATTTGATCCAATAAGTGCTGTTACGTTAGTTGTTTAATTAATTATTTTATTTCGTGAACTGAATTCTCATTTACAAAGTTTTGGCTTGTGGAGTAGACCAATTTTATTCTTTTATTCTTTCTTATTTTGAAGAAGAGACCTCGCCCCAGTCTTTTTGAAATGCAAAGAAGAAAAAAATAAATAAATAAAACAAATGTCATGATAATTTTGAATTCGCTTGATCCTGAACAAAATGCAGATTCTAATTTATGATTGCTAATTATAAAAAAATTCCTTAACTCTGTCGCTTAGGTGATCCTCTTCTTTTTACTCACTGAAGAAACTGGCTTTCTGAGAAATGTCAGTTCTTGATTAATTGCTTCCATATCTTTTTGTTTTCCCCTGCGGATTTTAATAGCGTAATGCTCTTCGCAACAGTCACTTAAAATTGAGAGTAAAATAAAATATTATAAGTTAATATTATTCTTAAAAGGAATGCTACTGGACGCTTGGGCTTATCTCAACATGGGGAAAAAAAGAAAACCTTCCTCGTGATTAAATTTTTGTATAATTGCAAAATTACTACATATAAATTCACCTATGGTATGAAGGAGGAAAAAAAACAGGAGTTACAAAATAAAAATGCGTTATTTCGGATTTTAATATGCGAAGGAGACACTAGTGACACACATCCTTTCAAAAAATTTGAACATGGCTCTGATACAAATTTTTACCTTGACATAATTATATTCAATTTACAATGCTAAATAAAAATTTATAACAGTAAGTAATTTTAATGCTAAAACAGTATAAAAAATTATTGTATGTGGGGGGGGGAGGAATAATATCGTACGCCACAGACAAAAGCACTTAAAAGGCTTACTGCGAAGGTAACTTAAATTGATATTTAACAAATAGCAGAGAATAAAAGTTTAAAAAAACTTTCAGGAAGTTCTCGCTCAGCGGTTTCAAGAATGATTGTTTCCTACTTCATTTGAGAAAAACGACGATTCCACCTCCTTTCTTTCCTAAGGTATTAGAACATACGATTCTCATAAAAATTTTCGAAGAGCAAATTGAGAGAGAGCAAGAAACCCCCTTCGAAAGCGATGGACAATACTCTTTAAAACAACGGTAATAGGAGTGTCGTGATATAAACACTACGAAGAGAAGCGGGGGGGGAGAGAAAAAAGAGGAAACTGCTTCATTTTTACGCTAACAAATTAGAACACAGAGTTCACACCCACCCGACCCCCAACTCGCAGCACGACTCCATTAACTACTATTTCATTTTCAGGGGCAATTTAAACGCGTGCGTCACCGTAAGCTTATCACGCAACACAAAATGACGCAACGGCGGTGTCTGTATGCTTCGATGGAGACAGAGAGCGCCATCTGTCCGATCAAAAGGTAAAAATTCATTTTTTAGGATTTTTATAGTAAACTTTGATGGATATTAAAAACTCTAATAGAACTTTACTTAACACAAGTTATTAAAAAAAAAGTGCTAATAAAATAAAATCTGCCTTATACATTTGAAAATTCGTTAGAAATTTGTTCTGTTTAACTGCCAGCTTATCAAAATTATTAGAAAATGCTTAAATATGAAATTTATTTTAAAATTTAAATTACCGATAAGGCCTCGGAAATGGATTAATATTCCCAATTAGCAGATTTTTTCCGACATCAGATCAGAATCTGCTGAAAATCAAACGAGTTGCGTCATCTATTTTCAGTAATATAATAATAGTGCGTTACTCATCAGCGTAACTAACTGAATCATTGGAAATTTTGTTTCAACTTCTTTTTAATAATATCTTGCAAAAAGTTTTATTCTATGCAATAAATACAATACGCTACTAAATAATTAATGAAATGTTGATGTATTAAATAAAATGCGTTTCTAAACCATAATTAGTCGATTGCAAAACATCTAATTCTTCTTGTGTAAATGATCAGTATCAAAAACTAATTCCAAAGTTAATTTTTTGAAAAACAAATTATAAATCTGTTTGCATATTTCATTATTTTTTTTTATTTTATTCAAATAGTTATCATTTTCAAAACGAAAAATCCCTTTTAATATTTTACTTTCAATCTAAATTTCATTTTTATAAGAGCAAAGATTTAGTTTTACCAAATGATAACACTAGCAATAGTTACATGTCGAAGGAAGTGCATTGTTTTGAATTAACATGTAAAAGCATGTCCTGGTAAAATAAAATCCACTGCCATAATCATGTCTGGATAATTAATGGGGCGAAAAACGAGAAGAATTTTGAAGAACTGTTTCATCCATAAGCTCTGGAAAGTTTTCCAGCTGCGCAAAACATTATTTTTTTATTCCATGCGCCCTTGCACATAGCCGATTCTCGGAGTTTCGCCATTTAGTAAAGTATAAATCTTGAATTTATCTCTCAAATTCGTCTGTTATTGATTTACACAAAATGAGGGATTTAAAAGCAATAAGTCCACTTCTATATAAATCTTTATTTCTCTTTTCATTATAATATGTCTGACTGATGTGAATTCAAATGTATTTATTTACAATACATCCTAATGATAACTTTTATGAATATATTCAAATGATAATGATATATGCAAATGACATCTAAATGATAATTTTTATGAATATATTCAAATGATAATGATATATCTAAACAGCATCCCAATGATAATTTTTATGAATATACTCAAATGATAATGATATATCCAAATAATATCCTAATTATAATTTTATGAATATATTCAAGTGATAATGATATACCCAAACGAAATACAAACAATAGTTTTTTATGTATTCCCGTAAGATGATTCTAACTCTTATGCTATGCAGCTGGTTTATTAATGTTTAATATTTTAAAATTTTGTAAATATTCTATTAATTTTTTGAAAATTTTAACAGCAAATTCTTCCTTGAAGTTGTTACACTAAATTAAAAGTTTCATGAGAACAATTTTTTTAAATTAATTTTAAAAATATCGCCTGACGCATTAAATTGCAGTCTAAAGTTTTCAGTTTAAAATTTTCAATTTTTCGTCTCAAATTAATTGTCTAATTAATTTCTTCTATAATTCTCGTAATAGATTATGATCGTATATCCCATTCCTGCTACTATATCAAGGGTAAAATTTCTAGATGCTCATAAAAATTTACTCCCGAATTTATAATAAAAACATTCTAAATGTAAATGATAGTACAGTTATTCCCATTTTACATTGGTAATTAGATATGACTACGTAAAATTAACGTAAAATTTCAGTCACACGTCTTCATATTCTGTATATTTCTGGAACTATGTTTAAACTTAATTTCGTAAAAAGACAAATTAAAATTCTTTGGGAACTGAGAAAGGCGATTTAACACTCAGATAATTTTGATTAACAATTATGTATAGTTTCATGATATTTCACTTCAAGAAAACATGAGTGCATGCAGTCACAGTGTCCCATCTCTGAGGTCAGGGGAGGAGGAATAAAAAATGAATAAATAAATAAAAATAAGAATAAAACCAACTGCTCGAATCAGATTAGAATTATTCAGGTTGTCTGATATTACTTTCAAAAGAGTGAATTAGATGTTTTGGAACTTGACATTAATTGAATATCGTCATACTTAAAGCTCACTCATTATTCCGATTATAGGAAAAGAGGGAAAACTTTATTAACACAAAGTTTCTTACCGTAGAATAAATTTTGGCAGCTTCCCTTCAGTAGAAATTCGTCTGCAAATGCATCTTCAATCCTCGTATTAAAACTAAGTAAAATAAAATAAGAAATCAATATATAGTTTTATGTTATATAGTCAAACACATTATTTATATATATAACAGCAATATCACAAACTAAGTACACAAAGACATGAAAGAAATGAAATTAATAACAATAAAATCAAATTTCTCCAAAAATATATAAAATTCAACCAATATTCAATATTGAATTAAATTTTAATTGCATTCCTCTGCCTTTATATGTATTTTTCATTACTTTTATATTTCTTTTTTCTCTATTACTACTGGTTTGATGGATATTATCTCTCTCTTACACATATAGTATAAGATGACATTTTAATTAATATTTTGAATAATCATTACCCATCATCATTACAATCAACAATTAGCATAAGAGTTAGAATTACAGAAGAAATGTTTCCAACAAAATAGGGTGCGGAGGCTTGAATATATTTCAGTTATTTTCGTCAATGAAATTATTCACTATACTTCCCTGAAATATATAAAACTACAGTAACTTTTGTAATTAAAACCCAAATAACATTATTAGAATGATATTCTTTACATTAAAATTTCCCCCTGCTAAATACTTTCGTAAATATTATTCTTTTTGATAGGCTATGGAAAGATTTTAACACTCATATTTTAAAATAGTATGTAGAAATGATAATTTTCAATAAGCAATTATATAGTTGATGCTTCATCTGCAATATTTGACACACCGAATCAAAAAATTAAAGCCTGTAGATAATTCAGAATTAAAACTTAATTAAATTTCTTTAATTAGAATATTTGATATCAGGTAAGATGAACAAATTTCTAAATAACTAAAAATATTCACTATAGATAACTGCATTTTGGGTACGGCATATAGATACTGCATTTTAATTAGTTTAGATACTATATTTTGGAATGGAGGCTCTCAAAGAAAGGGGGGGGGAAGATAAAAATTCTGATCTGAATGAGTCTTCAGCATTTTTAACATATATTATGTAACATATATTATAAATACAGCTAATTTCTACCCATAATGCATTTAGAATTAATGCAAATAACACAGTTCAATAAAATGAATAAGAAACTCATTCATGGATTCCTTCAGGACCTTCAAGTTTTCTTTTAAAGACTACAAACACTTGAAAATATTTGCTTAAGAAGCGAAGTATTCGCTTTTTTTTTTCGTGTAAAAAGCAGTTTTACAAATATATCAGAATGCATTTTACAAGATACAACATAACATTTATCTTAAAAGTACACATGCCAACTAATAAAAAAATTACTGGTAACTCATAAACCATCTGCCACATCACATTTTTCACATTTAAAAAACGTAATAAAAAATAGCGAATTTTTTTCTCTGAATTTATCCTTTAAGAACAGATTCAGTTTCTTTTTATTTTGCTTTCTTTCTTTTTAAAAAATCGCCTTGATAAAAACCTAACGGTAATTCTAACCTACCCCATCTGCCGGCCTTTTATTGAACCTAAGTGCGAATGGTCTACCCTATCCCTACTCTTCCCCCCATCTTCCATTCTTCACCGATAAGAGTCGAGAAGAGGTTGAAATTCAGCCCCCCTCATCCTTTCTTTAAATCTCCTTCTCACCCGAGGATGAAGGGGGGGCCTGTTCGGGGGCACCCGTTTTTTGCCATAGGACAGATGGCAGACACGCGAACCGCACGCGACTTCACCTGCCCCGCTCACAGCTCGTTTCTTACGTAAGAAAGCACGATTAAAATCTTGGCGACGATTTGGCGAGAAAATAAACAACGCCTAGTTCAGTTAGCTCGCTTTGACTTCTAAGGATAATGAGCGTGACTGGACAATTAAATGTTGATTTCTTTTGATAGCGAAGGCGAAGGAAGTATAGAAATACTTCTTGCGCAGCTGGAAATCTGCATGCTATAATAGCACGATCGTTAAGATAAAAAAAAGAAGGAAATTGTCTGAATGGGAGGGGGCATTATTTTGGATTGAATATTTTAAATAATGCCCCCTCTCATTAAAACAATGTGAATGCGAAAATTTAAAATTCATTTCAAGTGACCAAATGTGCACCAAGAAGTTATTGCATAAAACAGCACTTGAGCAAACAGGAATTTTTAATGCCATATGCATGAAAATAATAAGCATGAATGAATTAGTTGCGCATAGCAAGGAAAGAAAAATGACGACGTTTTTAACATTTGAAAACGGATTATAATTTTTATATCCCTCACATCTTTTTTAATGATTATTCGCCGTACAAAACAGATTAATACCTTCAAAATCTATTTAAAATTTACTCGTTAACACGAACCATTCTCGTCAACTATAGAAAATATGTGCATATGTGACATAATGCGCCGTACCAACAACTAATGGCAATAAGCACATTAAAAAAAAACTCTTTTTATTCCATTAGATATTTTATTTCTATCATAACCACATCATATTCAAATTCCAGCGTTTTTACTTATCAACGTATTGTTCTCTGTTGGTACATACGATTACATACTTAGTGATATGATTATATTTTTAAAGGAACAAAATTATCTTTTTAAGCTCGTCCTAATACATGCATACTCTTTTGGCGAATACTTAAAATTTATCTAAATGTTCAGCTTTCATTTTTATCTACAAAAATAAAGAAATCACAATTTGCCAGATTCCGCAGTGATTCCGCAGAATAGTGTAGAAAAGAAAAAGAATATTTGCTAAAAGAAATTGGGAAGGGATATTGTTATATCTAAAATTAAAATAGTTATTGAAAAGCATTTATTAATAGGACTGAGATTTAACATATAGAAATTTTATGAAGTTTCATTTTTATAACATTCCAAATATGAATAAAATAATCCTAAAAATATTAGAACTGGATTCACTGTCATATATATATATATGAAATTCCACACGTTAAAATACTGCGGAATCTGGCAAATTGTGATTTTCTTTATTTTTGTAGATAAAAATGAAAGCTGAACATTTAGATAAATTTTAAGTATTCGCCAAAAGAGTATGCATGTATTAGGACGAGCTTAAAAAGATAATTTTGTTTCTTTAAAAATATAATCATATCACTAAGTATGTAATCGTATGTACCAACAGAGAACAATACGTTGATAAGTAAAAACGCTGGAATTTGAATATGATGTGGTTATGATAGAAATAAAATATCTAATGGAATAAAAAGAGTTTTTTTTTAATGTGCTTATTGCCATTAGTTGTTGGTACGGCGCATTATGTCACATATGCACATATTTTCTATAGTTGACGAGAATGGTTCGTGTTAACGAGTAAATTTTAAATAGATTTTGAAGGTATTAATTGTTTTGGAAGAAACTGAATAAGATTGTTTACGTAACTGTCTTGGTATTTCTGTAGATTATAACTGCAGCAATCACAATCCTTAGTAATGTTAAATACTTTAAAATTCACTGAGTTTTTCCAATCAGTTCATCGTTATTGCAATTCCATTTCTAGCAATTTTTTAGGTGTGTTGAACAAATACATCTATACATACATGCATGCATAAATTTCTGAATCTAATCCGGATAACAGACGAGTACCTTTTCTAAACCTTCAAAAATCGCCAGCAGCTGCTCATATAAAATTTAAAGTTCCTTTCAGCATATAATCTTAATACCATTCTCTGACTTTTGTTTAGGACTTATGGCCAATAAAATTATTAATCATTTACTTTTGGTCGACTGCTTTTTTACATTTCCTCTATAAAACACTTGCTGAAAACTCATTAGCAGTGCAGCTTGAAATTAACTAAGGACAGTGGAAGGGTGATAATGGACAGCAGGAATATTATATAAGGCCATGAAGGTCTATCCTGTAACGCTTAAGAGTGGCATGGAGTAAAGTCTACAAATAGTAACATTTTGATAAAACTTTTCGCTTTTGGCTAGAATCAGATGTGAGCTGGGTTGTCATTGCCAATGCTTGAATATTATATATCCAATGAAAAAGAAATCTAGCTATAAAATATAGTTTCTTAAATCATCAAGGATTTATGAACAACAAATTAACATACAATTTAAAGAAAAATATACATTAGCAGTTACGAAAAGAATGAAACAATCTTTAGCTGCTTTACACAATTTTATCTTTGTTTACAAGTACTTGGTGGCTCTTTTTCCAGCACACTCCCGTTTCGTTCCCAGTTAAATCTCATCTTCCGTATAGTCGCTATCTTCAATGATCACCGGCTACGTCCTATGGAAATTTTCCTGCTGCAGCTGCCACTCCTTGTACTTTAATGTCATGTAGATTGACCGCTTGATGAACTTATCAAACCATCCACGGCTTGGTCCAATTCATCATTTTTCGCTTCTATGGCTTTCGTAGCCTTCATGTCATTGAAAAGCCTTTAGGATTTATTTTGATTAATGGCCTTGTTTAAAGGAAAGATTGAATGCTTTGATCACCTATCTAGACTTAAGATTCTCTGTTTCGGCAAAATTGCCTTTTCCTTACGAAATAGTTTTAACTGGACTTTTTATTTATTTGTTTGCCTGTTTTCAAGACAATATTAATAACAAACCATGAAAGATAAGCTTATCTTACTAACACTGTTTCGTGCTTTATAACATCGCATACTGAGATATACCTCCATTATAAATGTTTATTCAAGGGTAACACCAGATACAAAACAGAAGCTGTATTCTGATGTCTTACTAACGGTTGTGATACAGGGACTTTGAGTAATAACACTAATAAGACTAGAAAGATAAAATTGCGGAATAAGACGCTTATAAAAAGTGGCAGTAAATTTGAAACCTGCTGTACTGAAGCATTTGTGTTCAAAAACTATTATTGATACCTCTTCGTCGTCCGCAACGCGTCTAGCGCGTTTAAAGTGAAACTTCCGCAGGGCGGAATTTATGAATTTATGAATATTTGCGCCATTTTACACAAGACAGTGAGAGAGGGCTTCAACATCTACTCAGCAGAAAAAGAGAAAAAATGAGGTTGTGAATTGGAAAGACAAGAAGGATATACGTTTGATGCGTACAGTCCATAATAACTCGATGATGGAT